TTAGACATTCAAGGGACGCCGAGCTGTAACAGACAAGGACGTATTTAAACACCGAAAACAGAAGGTTGATGAAAAGCGTGTTTCCGTTTCCTGGGGAAAGATGGTTGCGGTCAGTCCAGCTCCCATAGTTCCGGCCAAGATCAAAAGGTGTTGCAAAGCCAGGGCAATCTTAGGCTCTTTTAAGATCTGTAAAGTCTGTTGAGTTCCTTTGTCAATTTTCTTTGGCTTGCTTTAGTGACGCAAGTCACCTTGTGCTTGTTACGCATCTACTTGTGGGAAAGAGTTACCTAAAAATAATTCTAGCGATTAAGACCTACTCATGCCTACTCTACACAACCTGTGAGTTTCCATACGCACGTGTCAAAAGTTGCGGCACTAAGCCCCACAGAATAAAGAAACAACACACTTATACAATTACAGTTACAAGTAGCCTGCATGCACTGGCATTGTCGTACCGTGTTTCCTGCATAGATGCTGTGTATCATAGAGGGTCCTGCCGTACGATACCTTGTCCCGGCCCAACATTTTGCTCGCACCATGAAGTGCCCATACACCTGCACCCCAGTACCATAACCATGTACTTACTGTACCAGACCCATGTACCTACCGTACCGTACCCATGTACCTACCGTACCGTACCATGTACCAACCGCACCGTACCCATGTTTCTATCGTACCGTACCTACACCCCTTCGTACTGTACCTGTCTGTGTCTTGCACCGCCCCTACCGTAACAAGCCTTCCATGATCCTTAATTTCATTGCTTTCGAGAATAGATAACAGATGATCAAGAGCTGAAGAGTATGAAACAGGACACAAAGTCCCGTCCTTCGTGGAAGACCATCGGTGCAAGACTTCATCGCGACCCCCAGGTATGCAAATTGAGATGGGGCATCCTGAAACAAACGCTTGGGATTTTTGACCAACACGGTCATGACAAGCCATCCCTCGAACCCGAGGCAGAAGCGGAGGACTAACAAACAATATTGCACTGTCAAGAAAAAAGACGTGAGCCTACCTGCGGGGTCATTAAACAGGTTTTCTTCTGGTTTTTCTTTCTTCCTTCTTCTTTTCCTGTTGTGTGCTTGTTTCATCTTCCTTTCCCGGTCATCCTCAGCTAATATGGCTCATTCATCAGCTTATAGACGAACCATTCCTGAACGTTCTCGTTCGCGGGACGACCCCATGTGGCAAGGTCACTACTCACAACAACGTGGGCGACCATATGATCCTAGACCTGAGGTACCCCCTGCACCTCGTCTCCAGAAAGTACTTGCGATTGTGGATCTTCAATCGGTCCGTCCACTCATGACCAAAACCCATGATGATGTCATGGATGCCACGACATGTGCGATCACACCATCCCTGACAAATTGGAAGAAAGGGCCCTGTTCACCTACAATGTCTTACTCAATACCCATCGTCTCGAATCATTCACTGTGTACAACCTTCTTTATTGCATCAGCCAGCACATCTGGTACACATGGGATCACTACTTGCCCCCGTCTTCCATGGACATCAGATGGCAAGACGAAACTGGAGACACATTTGCTCTCCGCAACGAAAACCGACTTGTTGATCTCCTTCACGATTTCCGGCCTCAGTGGCTCGAAGGTCAAGGATGTGGCCTACTTTTCCCCAATGATCTTCGACCTTTTACGTCTCACCTTCAGCCTTATATCATGCGCATGAGCTGCCATGAGGCCCTTCCCAATCGCAACATGCTTCCTTGAGCTGGTTAAAAAAGTCCCTTTTCCTTGCTGACTTGTTTTGCGTGTGTTCTTGTTCTTGTTCATTTGGTTCCTTTCCAACTTTTTGTTTTTTAGCACTTGGCTCCAGCTGTACCATGACCAAACGTGATTCCCTGCTTGCCGGTTTCACGTATCCTTCGTCTTCTATGAGCATGCCACGTCGCCACTCATGGAGATCTCGTAGTCATGGACTTCCCAGTAGCACTGCTGCTCCTTCGAACCCATGTGCTTCGTCTCGCAGCGCCACTGACCCTACAGCTCCCGATGCTGGACCTTCCATCCTACCTGCCGGATCAGATGAACATACATCCCACCATGGGTACTCAACGGCAGACATGGCCACACCCATTCCAGCTCCCACTGATCACCAGACTCCAATTCTTCCAAGACTTACGGAAGAAGCTTATCCACTCCAAAGGGAATTGTCAGAAACTCGTCGTCAGCTTCACGCATACTACTTGGTTGAAGTTCAAACTCCTTCAAATGACAATTCCCAACCGGCACTTCGCCGACTTATGGTCACTGAAGTGGATAGACGAGGGAACCATCGAAACATGCAGCCGGAGTTCTACTTCAATGGGATCATCGGCCACATTCGTGCTGGTCGCAACGGATGGATTGACTCTTGGGATCAATCGTCCCAACTCGCCAACTATTGGCGCCGCTATTTTCAGATTCCAGAGCTCTCCCCGGAGGGAAATTGGCACTCCCATCACGACGAAGCTCCAGAAAGCCCAGTCTCAGTACAAGAATCAGTACAAGAATTTGGCATGGACGACACCGACTCCATCATCGCCAATGTAAACATTACTCCACCACCTGTCCAGATTCAACAACTGGCAACCTTCTTCTGGAACATTCTCAACAATGACAGGGATGCCAACATGGCAATACTCGAACGTCTGGAGGATCCAGATGATGACCTCTCACGACATCCGGTTCAGATCTTCTCGGCGGGAGACTTGGCTCATCTTGCCAGTCATCTGGCAGAATCTACCCGTATGTTGTCAGAACAAGCCAGTCGCATGGAGGCATTCTCTGATGAGGCCTTGTGAGCTGTAGGACTAATTCAGCAGATGACCAACTTCTTTCCCTGTGTTTTGAAGCCATTTCCGCTTCAGGGAACGGATAATAGCCTTTCATCGCTAGTGATCTCCGAAAAAAGCCTCGCGGCAGCGGGGCGTGTGTGTGGACCATCTGTACAGATGTAAAACTTCTCTTCGGTTTTTGAGTAGTTTTGTTATTGTTCATGATTTCTCTTTCATGCAGGGGGCTGCAGGGAATGTCATAGTTCTGCAGCCAACGAAGACGGCTATGACATTCTGTGATATCGATCCGGGACGCTGGATCGACGTACCTGCTCACTTTCAGAAATGGGAAGAGGCTCAACCCAAGAACCTCCACGTCGTTTCATTTGATTTTTCAATTTACTGCACTGTTGTCGCAATCTGGAATTACTTTCGATCAAATATGTATGGTTCGGCTACATCAGAACCTTCCTCAGAGCAAGGACGTAGAAAGCATACTTCGCACTGAAGTTCTCGTCGAGTCAACCAATCTTTCCTGTCAGTTTGTAGGGATTGTTTTGTGCACGAACGATGCACTCCACAACAAAATTCGCAATGATGTTTCTGAGCAAGTGTGTGTGAAACATCTGAATAGATGTAAACTTCTACCTGGTGATGTCGTGTTTCTCTTTATGTTTTGACTGTTGGTAATCTATATGCTCTGGCTGACTTCGTGACTTTTCTGGACGTTGTTTCATTTCATTTCTGTACTCATAGCAGGGGGGCAGTGCGCGACTGACAGTAACTGCCCAACGAAGACACTGTCAGTTCGTGGTGATACAGAGCCTGATCAGCTCTGCGTACCTGCGCCATTTTCCATTTCTCGTCAATGGCAACTGGCTAAGCCAAGAACCGGCATGTCGTTTTTCAAACAGTTTTTAAACCGAACTCAAACTTTCGGATTTCTACTTGATGTCCCTTCAATGCCGGTACGGTTTTCGCAATCTGTCAGGGTGGGAACGATTTGGCTTAGTTGAAAGGAAAGTGTCAGCTTCCAACTTATTGCATCTAACAATGGCTATGGCGATGGTAACTTTTCGAATTTTCTCGGGTCTTTTCGCCGACCCATTCCTGTCAGGTATATATAATTGGATTGTTTTTGCACGTGCGATGCATTCCACATCAGAATTCGCAAAGATTGTTCTGAGCAAGTGTGTGATTCATGCTGGATTCGTCATGGTGGCATGAACCCTTCGGGGAATACCTTTCCAGGTAGGAATTTGAATCCTCGACCTGATCTCTGAATTCACAATTTTCAACCTAGTAATTCGTTTAAGTAAAGTGCCCGCTGTTCCAGGGACTCACCTTTTTCTGAATGCTTATAGGTTGAAGCCAGAAGCCGCGCCAACATTCCTCCTTTTTCATTTACTGCTCGAGAGTTTGACTGATTTACTTCTGCACATGCCTCATGAACAAAGGTTCAGGTAGGCACACGACTTTAGGTGTGGTTTTCTTCCTCTTGATTGTTTCTGGTGAGGTTCAAATGTGCACGTAATTCGAGGGTTGGCGACGTAAGCTGTCCATGGGGTTGACTTGGCACTTTGGCCATTGAGCCTGATTAGGGGACTTTGCATGGCATTGTGGATGCATCATGGTTTAAACTGTTGGCAGCTGTTTTTCTAATTTATACCTGGCTCCATCTTCGTCGCCATGTTTCCATTTCGCTGGCCAAACAATTCTGAACCTATGTGGAATCCCGGCTGGCCTTCTTCACCAGCTACACCACATCAGGCCTTGAACCCTCAGGGCCAATTTTGTGGTGGAGATTTGAACTACCAACAGTCCCAAGCTCAGACTCAGGCCCGAATCAATGCGCTTCAACAACAGAATTCGCTGCTGAATCAACAGCTCCACAATCAATCCATGACTCATATCCAGCATCTTCAACAGTTGGTGCCGCACCAACAATCTCAGCCAACACCTACCATTCCACCTCCACCACTACATCAACAACCAACGCCACCTATACCGGTTCAACCAGAACCGCCAACACCCACGTTGACACCACCAAGTCAACCACCCATGTCACCATCCTTCAATCCTGAGGAGATGTTGAATCAGATGAAGCAAACCCTGAGAGCCGACCTCGTTGCCGCCGTGGAGAAAGCCAATGAACGTTCCTCACAGCTTTTCCATCCTACTCCTACCACAACTCCACCTACTGACGGTCACAATCAACCGTCTAACAGCCAACGCCCAAACACGGCTCAACCGTCACATCGCTCACGTTCACCGCCTCGCTCACGGGAACATCCTGGCGATGACAAAGACCTATTTCTGTTCCCAGAAGCCCACGACGTCGCCCTCATGTTCCCAGCAGGACACGCCAGCCAGAATCCCCATCATACCGGGGTCGAGACAGCTCAGTCACGCTCCTGTCGGTGTCCCCTGATCGTCGGAGTTATAGCTATGACTTCAACCAAGATGATCGTACTCGTTACAGCTCAACAAGACGCTCCTCTCGTCCTTCTGAACCTTCGAACCCTCCGGCATGGCACCACCATGATGGGCCTTCAAACCACGATGACCACTCCCATCACCCAGCTCACCACAGCGACCAATCCAACTGGCAAGACTGGGACGCTTGGGGAACGTGGGGGACTCAGTCACCACCTGCCACCTACCCATCGTGGCACGAGCAGCCCCGCTCCAGCTATACATGGCGTGATTATTTTGAGCAGGATTCTTATCCTACCCAATCTTGGCATGATTACCACCGAGATCCACCTAGACCTGCTGCTCGACTGTCAGCAGCACCATACTCCAAGTCCAAACCGCTTATGGTGCACTCGTCGTCACAGCAAAAACCTCCAAAATCCTCCAAGCACCGTCCCAGATATGAACAGGAACATCATTCCTGGTCAGCCTCGGCAATCCCGCCAGGTCACATCCAGGTGTCACTCAAAGATGACACCCGCAAGGAATGGATCAAAAAGGTCCGTTTTGGCTTGAATCACAAGCACCGGATGAAGGCTGCCTCCAAACTCACAGATGCTGAAAAGCTTCAGCCATGCCTCATTGTCGATCATGACCGATTCCAAGCAGCCTACAACGCCATCCGCTCCTTGGATCGAGCCATACTGGCAGAGGTAGCCAAAATGGCCACACATCTCATCTCAGGCTCACGACTCTTGGGTGACCTGGACCTGCAAGGCTTATTTAATGGATCTGCGCGTCACCAACATGATGGCGTTGGTGTTTCCACTTCCAGCCATCTCCAGGTTCTCCTTGCCTGAACCATTCAAAGGGAAACAATTTACCACTTGGGCCTTGATACATGGAACCCCAATCAAGGGTGCCCAGAACATCTTGCTAGAAGGATTCATTCGTCCGGCCAACTGGTCCTTCAACCGTGATCACAGCAAATGTGATGTGCCCACATTTGGTGGATACTACCTTGGCCTTGAGATAGGCCGTGAAGACAAAATTCCCGATGGGGCTGCACGCGATTTGATGGACCGTTCCCAAAAACGGGGCAAGGGACAACAGAAGGTGCTCATCGGCGCCTTATATCGTGGAGCTGACAATCATGTCAGCTACAAAGATGGAGGTAACGAAATGGCTCAGCTGCAAGTAGCCCATTGCGGCATCGTCACAACGTCAGAGAAGTATACGATTGCCCACAGCCATCACCTGGGACTCCAATTCTTTGCCTTGAAGTGGCCCAACTTGCCCACCGACGACGGAGATGATGACGAAACATCAGATGACCTCAACTACAGGGGCAAAGGACGTCGATCACCGGCACCAACTGAGGCCCCTCCTGACACAGCAGAGAATTCTGCACCTGTCAAACCCTGACTACGGTGATCGCGTTCAATGTTGTCAGACTGGAAACCGGCTGATCCATTTCTAGGGAAACCTGGACAGGTAAAACAGCAAAAAGGACTGCTCGGCTGTCGCAATCTGATTTCCATCATTTGTGCTTCTTGTTGTTTGTTTTGAACTTTTTATGCTACATTGCTTTGATTCACTCACCATTTTATTCATGTCTTGCTAACTTGTTCCTGTACCAATCTCACCACCTCAACCCCGACCATTTTTTCCTAGATGGTGTGGCCCCATGAGCGCTGCTGTCAGACACTTACAGAATATGCCACGACCTCAGAACCGACCATCTTGGTCAACGGCTCAGTCGGGACCTTATATGATGGGACGTATGTGGACACCACCAATCCCTCCAACCAGCCGGGCATCTCACCAGTTTCCACCTACTCCACCCACCAATCCTCTGCCGCCATCAGAAAGGGACGCCTTTCTGACGTACCTGCACGTTTGAAACTGTTAACCAAGCTGTTGCAGTCAGGCTGTTTAGGTAAATCAGGTCAGCTGCACTTGTTCGTGTCCCTGACATCGAAGGCGACCTAGGAATACAGGTCAGAATATACAGTGTGTACTTCCGGATGTTGGACCTTACTTGGTCTCACCGCAATCTTCTTCATGACATGCAGTAACGGTTTTTCAAGTAGGTATCAAGCAGAAGAGCAAGCAAGCAAACAGAGGCACTGCTTAAGCCTGTCATTTTTACAGCTCAATTTGCGGCCCTGACCCTTCATCTGAAGGTGACTGGGATACCAGTGTGTGGGTGTTCAAGTGTGTGCGCGCGTGCGCGTGTTTGTGTGCAACATCTCAATCGATGTAAAACCTGTACCTGTGGACTTCTGGATGAGCCACGTCTGGGTTTTCCGAATTTCAGTGGTTTCTGCAATTAAAGGACCGGATAACCCCACATGTTACCAACTTCTCTAGATTTAGACTGGGCATAGAAAAGCAAGAAGGGAAGAGGAAGTAAAAGAGTGATGGAGCGGTGATGGTGGGTGAGTTTGTGTGTGTGTGTGTGTATGTATGTTCAAGTACAGTGCGTGAGTGAGTGAGTGAATGAATGAGTGAGTGAGTGAGTCAGTGAGTGAGTCAGTGAGTGAGTGAGCGAGTGAGGGCGTACATCCAACCCCTTGGCCGCGCACATTGTCCCACGCCTGCCACGCAAAAGAGGCGGAGACCCAGGGATGCCAGACCCCTTGACAGTGCACATTGTCCCACGCCTGCCACGCCAAAGAGGCGGAGACCCAGGGACGCCAGCGGAACCCCGGGGCGTACATCCGACCCCTTGGCAGTGCACGCCAGCGGAACCCCGGGGCGTACATCCGACCCCTTGACAGTGCACATTGTCCCATGCCTGCCACGCAAAAGAGGCGGAGACCCAGGGACCCCAGCGGAACCCCGGGGCGTACATCCGACCCCTTGGCAGTGCACATTGTCCCACGCCTGCCACGCAAAAGAGGCGGAGACCCAGGGACGCCAGCGGAACCCCGGGACGTACATCCGACCCCTTGACAATGCACATTGTCCCACGCCTGCCACGCAAAAGAGGCGGAGACCCAGGGACGCCAGCGGAACCCCTGGGCGTACATCCGACCCCTTGACAGTGCACATTGTCCCACGATGTCCCACGCCTGCCACGCAAAAGAGGCGGAGACCCAGGGACGCCAGCGGAACCCCGGGGCGTACATCCGACCCCTTGACATTGCACATTGTCCCACGCCTGCCACGCAAAAGAGGCGGAGACCCAGGGACGCCAGCGGAACCCCGGGGCGTACATCCGACCCTTGGCAGTGCACATTGTCCCACGCCTGCCACGCAAAAGAGGCGGAGACCCAGGGACGCCAGCGGAACCCCGGGGCGTACATCCGACCCCTTGACAGTGCAGATTGTCCCACGCCGGCCACGCAAAAGAGGCGGAGACCCAGGGACGCCAGCGGAACCCCGGGGCGTACATCCGACCCCTTGACAGTGCACATTGTCCCACGCCTGCCACGCAAAAGAGGCGGAGACCCAGGGACCCCAGCGGAACCCCGGGGCGTACATCCGACCCCTTGGCAGTGCACGCCAGCGGAACCCCGGGGCGTACATCCGACCCCTTGACAGTGCACATTGTCCCACGCCTGCCACGCAAAAGATGCCCTTGACAGTGCACATTGTCCCACGCCTGCCATGATGTGAGTGAGTGAGTGAGTGAGCGAGTGAGGGAGTGAGTGAGTGAGTGAGGGAGTGAGTGAGTGAGTGAGTGAGGGAGTGAGTGAGTGAGTGTGAGTGAGGGAGTGAGTGATGTGAGTGAGTGAGTGAGTGAGTGAGTG